GAACCTGAGCAGCCTGGGGACTCGCATCCTCTGCGCTGCAGCAGCTCTGCAGCAGCATCCCAGCTGCTCACACATGCAGTGAGCACAGAGGAGGCATCTCTGCACCGTGGAACAGGGCAGACATGGGTCTCATGTTGGACACCACCCCCAAAAGCCATTACCTGGGAGAGGGGGACACGCATGACATGGCTACTCCAGGCACAGGATCTGCCCCATAAGAGCTGGTGTGCTTAAAGCACGTGGTCGTTGCCCCCACTATGAAGCGGCCCACCCTCTCCTTGAGCCCTGCGCAGAGCTGGGCTGCTTCACGAGAAGGTTAGGGATGGCCAAGGGCCTGTTTTGAATTGGGGCACTCCACTCGTGAGATCTTACCTACAAGTCACAGGCAGCTTGTTTCCCATCGTGCAGGTAGGAAAAATGAGGCAGGGAGGACTGCTGGGACTTGGGGAGCTGGGGAAGGTGGCAGTAGGCCTGTCCTGGCTGCACCACCACTGCTAAGCTATAGAGAAAGTCACTTGTCTACCACGCATGACCACCCCCATGGATCAGGGTCAGCATCCCCCCACTTGGCTGGGGGGGACAATCCTGGGAGGGCACCAGCTCCAGGCTTTGCTCCTCATGAACATCCGCTCAGGCTCTCGCTGACCATCAGCCCTTTCTGTGGCCTCCACCATGGGACATGGCACAGCATCCTGCCACACAGCCACACCATATTCCCATCAGGGCAGCCCTGTCATCACCCGGGTGGATATTCCTGCAGCCAGAGACCACCAGTGCTGGAAACAGTCTGTGATACCAAGGACCTGGTGCATCTCCTGCTGCATCCCTTGCTCCTGCTGCCCACCAGCTGCCCAGGCAGGGCTCTCACTCTGCATCCACTGGCCCTGAGGAGGCCCCGCGCAGGGTGCTCTGCCCCCAGCCAGGCCCCCCTCAGCTGCACCTCAGCAGCTCTTCCCTTGCACTCCATGCCATGCCGATGTCGCCCTGGCCATCAATAGCACTTGGTTAATTAATTTGATGGGAACAGCAGGGACCGCACTTTGCATTTAGTGAACTTCCGAGAACTTCCAACCTCATCTTCATAATTGGCCTCATAAATTTAAGGAAAGAGAGAAATCAGCAAAGCCAGAGAAGCACAGGAGGCGGGAGAGGCCCCGCACGCGGGAGGGCAGGCAGGCGCATGAGAAGTGACTCTATTTGGTGTCCTTATTTAATTTTATTGCACAGATCCATCTTCACCCACCCCTCCCTGCCTAGCCCTCTCTTTCCTGCTCTCCCTGCTGGGTTCACCTAATCATGATAAATTCATATTCATTTCCCTGCCTGCTCCGGCGGGGGGAGCAGCTCCCTTACATTCGCCTGGCTCTGCTGCCATTAGCAAATATTTACTCATTAATACAAAACACCAGTGTTAGGAGCCAAACCACCCCCTCTGCACCCCTTTTCCCCCAACCCCTGCACAAGGACAAGCATGACAGCTAAGGATGGGTGTCCTCCCTGCAGGGTAGTAATAGCTGCCTAACGCTCAGAGCTGCAGTGACTTTTTCTTCCTTGCACCCTGGGGGACAGAGAGACACTTGATGGGGGGACAGGAATTGCCTGAGCCCCAAGTCTGGACCCACCTTGGGTGTGCAGGGATGGTAGGGTGGGAGTGAGGGGCTTTGCGGCAGGAGCTGAGTACCTGTCCTAGCTCCCTGACTTTCCACTCATTCTCTAAGTGCCACTGTGTTTGGGTTTATTTTTAATTTTCAGGATGATCAAACTTTCAGCCGGGAAGGGTGGGAAGGGGATGTGCTGGCGAGGAGGAATAGCCAAAGCCCCTTCCTGGGAAGCAGGAACCAGGCAACACCTCACTAGAGATGACTAAAACCATCTTTGCTCACCCTGCCTGCACCCATCCTGGGGGCTCAGCACGCACCTCCTCCCAGGCACCCCAGAAGCCCCATCTCTTCTACCTTCTTTGCAGGTGTGTCCTCCCAGGGTTCAGAGGAAGCAGATGGTGTGCTGGGGTAAGGGCATGGCCAGGTCCTGCCTTGCTGCAAGGGCAGAAGAGGGGTCTCAGAGGAGCACATGGCATCAGGGCATGCCAGGCTGGAGTTAGCCCCCAGCTTGGGGTCTGCAAGTGACTGGGAGGATGGGGCGCAGGATTAAGAGGACAAAGCGGAGACTGCGTGAGGCAGTGCTGTTCCCTCCATCCAGGGCAGGAGGGACTGCCCAGCTCAGGGATGACTCACAGTGGGCAGCCCAGCCCAGCCCCTCAAGTTTCTCCCCTTGCACCAGGATGAAAGAGAAGCAAGAGCCTTCAGCATCCAGAAATGTCACCACCATCCCCCACCCCCCCCCCC